GATAGTGTCAAGGTCGTAACGTCTTTTGTACAAACAGCCATTCTGCTGCTAATATTCGGTGTAGGAGTTTGTGTGACTGTATGCTTAATTATACAGCTGTGTCAGTAATGGGTATGACTTTATCAGGAAGGTGTCCACATACTTTTGGCTATATATAGTATAGGATCTTCTGTCTCAACTCGCTAGCTATTTATTTAGTTTGAAAGATCTGAGGACAGATAAGTGGCACAGAAGTGACTTTTTGAGTGGGGCCCCAGAAATGACAAATTGGCCCCCGAGTGGGACATCCAAAGGGGTGAGGTTCACAAGGGCAAACCCCCGAGGTGGCGATGGTGGCGGGTAGGCCCACAGGAACGTGCTGTGGCTGGCTCTGAGGGCCGTCCGTCTGCAGCGCCCGGCCCCTCCCTGTCTGCCGTACCTTTGCCGTAGATGGCGCTGAAGTCAGTGGCTTGTCTGGGATCGGGTTTCCCATTGTTCTGTCCGTGTTTCTGGCTGCTCCCAGCCGGGGGGCATTGTGGCCAAATCAGAGCTGCCTTGCCCCTCCCTCCAGACATCATTTCAGTGCTGCCATCTGGAGAAGTCACGCAAACACACAAACACGCACAGTTCATATAGTCCTGTCATTGTGGGGACTTTCCATTCATTTCTATGGGCGTTACCCTCATGGCCATTATGATAACCTTAACCCCTACCAAGCCCTAACCTTAAACATAAGTAACCAAACAAAAATACAAGACTTTTGGTTGGCTAATTTAATTTTTTGATTGCATTCATATTTTATTGTAAAATTGAGGTTTATATTGTGGGGACCTGAAAAATGTCCCCACAAGCTAAAAAGTAACAGATTTTACTATGTGGTAAATACAAACTGCAAACACACACACAGAGTATACTATGCTAGAGGGATAAACAATTTATTTGACACATCCATGTTTGAAGACAATTTTTATGATGAAAGCCAACATTATCTTTTTATTCAGCTATATTAACTTTGTAAACTTCAAGTTAATTTTGCCAGCTTTAACATGAAAGTCACTGAAACAAAAGCCATTAATTTTTCCCATCATCGCTTTTACATTATTTAGATTTTTTTTATTACATAATTATATATATGTGTGTAATTCATTTTTTTTCCCTTTTAACTTCTGCAATGTAAAAAAAAAAACCCAATAAAAATATGATTAAAGAGACACTATATTCTCTAGAGCATCACTGCATCTCAGCGTATGGACGGCTCGTCTACAGAAACCACGACTGACTTACCGAGAAAGGCTTCTGCCGTGTCCATGCTGAGGGTGTCTGCGATTCGGGGCAGTGAAAGGTGCAGTCAACCTGCCTGTCGAGGATCAGGAGGCACAATATGAAGAGACCATGGCCTTGGACTAGATAAATAGCACAGAAGCACCTGGGCGGATCTGCCTTGTCACATGTTCATTCAGCCTGGCTGCAGACAAGCCTGCATCTAACTTTTAAAAAGCTGCCCTGCATTAATACTCTGTTTTTGTTCCCTGTTTTTTTCCGTGCAGCTAATTCAGGGTCGTTCTGTTTTTTGTTCTCCTCGTTTGTTTGATGCTGTGTTTGTACTAAACATCAGCGGTCCCGCTGAGGTGGGGACGCCGCCACAGAGGGGCCTGAGTGTCTCACTCTGTGCCTCAGGATCGAGGCGAACTGTTTGTGCCGCTCCCGGCTGCCGCCTGTCCGTCCGCAATGCGGCTGCACGCTACGCTCAGCCTCATTAGCTGTGCGATGTCTTTAAGCGCCGTGGCTGATTTGAAAACGAGATGTTAGACGCCGGGAGCGGGATGTACGATAGCGTTCGTTGGTTCATTTATTTTTTTTTTAATTTGTATTTTTTTTTTGCTTATGGAAAAATCGCGTGAAGGATAGTTCAGGTGCCTGAGTGTCAGTGGATTTCCAAAGAACCTACAGTATGGTCTAGATGTCATGAAAATTAAACTGAAGTGTGACAATTGCGTGCGTAACAAAAATGCAAGATAAGAGTAATTCGAGCCTTGGTGTCCACGGGAGGTTTGCCCCTAGGACCCGGAAACTCCAGTCTGTCTAGTTTTACCAGCATAGATTCATACATAAAGAATTCTAGCTGCCTTTTGAGACCTCCAGAAGTTTTTAGGGAGTTAAAAAAACAACAACCTACAACCAGAAATAAGGCAGCAAGGCTTGTAAACATGTTTTATTTTATTTTTTTCGGATTTTATAACAGTACACCCTGGATAAAGCAAATGATCACCTGGAGCAGAAATGAAATACTACATTTATTTACATGAAAATACCTCCATGTTGCTCAGGTCATTTGAATCATTGCTGAATGAATAGGCATTAAATAACGAATAACAATACCTTAATCTAGGTTGAAAATAATTGAATAAGTCAACCTGAGTGAGTTGGAGAATTCGGAGAAACAGACAAACTTTCTGAAAATGGGGAAGACGGAGCTGACATCTTTGGAGATGCTTATAGACAGACCTACAAAGGGCAAACCTCAAGGACCGACCCACAAAGGCAGAACCCTAAAGACAGGCCCACAAACACAGAAACCCAGAAACAAACCCACAAACACAGAAACCCAGAAACAAACCCACAAACACAGAAACCCAAAGATAGACTCAAAGGCAGAGTTTGATGTTTGCACTGGCATCCTGCTCACCTCACGTGCTACCGCACATCTGCAGGGTGCCAGCGAACTGCTTAGGCAAAGGTGCAAAAATGCCAGCATAGAAGAATTAATTGACCCCTGAATTTCGACCCCTGAAGACAGAGACCCAAAGACTGAGACAGCACTGAGACTCATAAAATTAACTGATTCAAAGGAATCTGCTGACATAGAGAATGTGGAAGGATCCACATTCTTGGTGTGGGAGCTGCTGTTTGAGGCGTGTGAGGCAGGCCCCGACAGGAAGTCCGCTCCCTCCCGTACCCCCAACACCTTTGCCTTTAAGCAAACTAGCAGAGATAGCTCCCTTTCGGCCTCACGGCACACCCTCAAAATTAAGCTACCCAGTGGTTTCGAAAACCCCATCATTTTCTGCTTCATGCCAATTCAGAAAAGTCTGACTCCAAACTCGACAGTTTTTCTTGCGTCTTTCGAGAAATATCTGTAGAAGGTCTTCATTGTATTCACCTAAGATCCATGGGACAGTGTTATGCAAAAAAAAACTGTATGTTTCATCCCTCAAGCCTTTCGATTCAATTATATACTGCCAGAGGACCACAGTGCCATTCAAAGCAATCAGAAGCCTGCTTTCTGCTAACTGTGGCTCCGAGAACTAATTTCCCCAAGAATTGGAGAGGAAGCCAGAGAGGTGACTGATCACAGAATGATGAATTCTGCTTTATTTCCATTAAAAGGGCTCCCCCACTAGAGGACAGATCCGCACTCTTAATGCCTTCCCTCAAACGGTCAGAGACCAGGCGTGCTGCCGGCCGGCGGGGAGCTAGCGGAACGTGAGCAGACTGTAAGGCATCGATGTCACACTCGTGATGTTAGATTGCACACTAAAATGTGACACTCACCATTTTATCATTTTGTCACGTTCATTCCTCTGTGATTTTAACCTTGATTACTCTAATTTTTTTTTTCAAAAGCAACGTACTCATTCCTTCCTTACACAAGTAGGCATTTTGTGGGAGGAATTTGGACTGAGCACCATACTCATGGGTACCACTCTCTAAGGCAGTGATTCCCAACCCAGTCCTCAGGGACCGCAGACAGTCCACATTTTTGCTCCCTCCCAGCTCCCAGCCAATCATGAACACCAAACTCCGGGGAGGGAGCAAAAATGTGGACTGGCTGGGGTCCCTGAGGACTGGGTTGGGAACCACTGCTCTAAGGCGTTCTGTGGTCTGAGCTGGCAGACCCCATACTGCAAAGCACGCCGGCAGGCTCTGTGCCAGACTCTGTGGTTTCTGAGGGGTCGGGCCTAATAGGATGCGTATCACAGCAGACCAAACAGACTGATAAAGGGGGCGTATCCCGCTACCAGTGACCATGTGGTAATGGGGAATTTACACTGAAAACTGCCACTTAAATTATACTTGGAGGCCATTTTGTGCTATATTGCATTTCCACATTCTTTATTTTTGTTATTTTTTTTTTAAAAAAAAGGGCACCTATATTTAGCTAATTTACTAAATAACTGCCAAACTATTCTAGCATTTATAAATATACCGTAAATACCAAGTAGAGGAACACACTAGCCATCATTTTAATGTTGAACTTAATAAACAGAGCCTGTTCCAGGATATACGAGGGACAGGTTGGCTGGAAAACCAGAGACGGACACGGTTCATAAATCACACAGTATCAGTACTGAGGGAACTGTACATGAATGGCACCACCAAAGTGAAATGAATTAACAAGAAGATGTTCAAACTAAAACCTTAAATATTAAAAAGGAATATAAAAACATAGCTATATGACTAAATTAATGTTACAGGTGATTAAATATGCTCAAGATAAGCCTGATCTTAACATGTGGTGTTTTGACAGAAATTCCTTGGAAATGCTGCCTGTTTTCTGTGCTGTTTTCCCAGTTCTTCTGTGCATGGTTGTCTAATTAAGCAAGTGGACTGCATTCTCCGCTTAGCTACCCAGCGATGTCTAGTATTACCGCGGCTCGCACAGACATACAAGAAAGAATGAGGTTCAATTACTGTCTTTTTTTCTCTTTTTTCCTTTTTCTTTAGTCTGATTTTCCATGGGATATTACTCGGCTTGTAACATCAGAATACAAGTGATGTGGCTTTTTTTCTTACACTCCATGAAACACTGAGTTAAGCAAACAGAGCTGATAATTAATACTAGATAAAGCAGATTCCTCAGCTGATGTTTCACACTTCATATTACAGACTTCCCATTGGGTAAGGGACCTCCAGCCAGCCAATTACAGCAAGTTATATCCCTGAGAACACAAAAGGCAGGTGGCTCTGAATCATGTTGGCACATCACCCATGTTGGCTAAAGGAATTTTATTATATATCAGTGTAGAAAACAGCTACACATGCATTTGGTAACAATCTAAAGGTCACGGGCAAAACCTGGCAGAACATGTGACCTTGGTTATGACTGACCCACATGCAAATCAGGGGATTTACATAATCCGTAAAAACCGTGCATGTCAGCCAGATGGAATGGAGATGGCTTGTGTTTATCAGAATGCTGCTTCATGCTCGTAGGATCTGCCACAATCCACGGACGTCGGATAAACCTCAATGCTACCCGCTTATGAGTGCAACCATCAACACAAATATGAAACAGACCATCTAAAACTACTGCATTCAAGACCACATCAATTCTAAATATATCTCAATACTTAAAGTTTAGCTGTATAGTCATTTTTTAAATATGAAAGGAAGAAAGTAGCACCATTTCAAAGGAAAGCAATGCTAATTAAATAAAGCTTTCTTTGATAGGAACCCTAATTATTCTGCTGCTCTCCCCAAAGATAAATACGATCCCAAATCTCATGGCTTCTGCAGTAGCCAGTACACATGCTAAACGGTAACAGTAACTTGGAAGTACATCTTCCAACCATTATTCTGGATTATTCTACCCTTATATGAAGAGGTGCAGCCTACATAAGTTCCCCACCTCCAGCATATCTGACAGTGCCCACATGCCAAATTGACACACAAAATTACGTCGGCAGGTAAGAGCATCCATTGGATAACGTGACGCATAATCGCTAATTAAAGTGGGACTTACGATGTTTGGAAGGCGACACGGTGATGTGGGGATCCAGCTGTGTGAGCTAACCAGGTTCCCTCGAATGAAACAGCTGTCCGCCTCTCTCGCCCTTCTCATCCTGCATGGACACTTTTACGGCCTCCACCGAACTTGTGCTGACTTGACTCTCCGACTGTCTTGAAGATGATCCGTCTCTTTAAGCTCTGAGTTCAATGCTGTGTGGAATTTCCTGCAGGAACCGCCTGGAAATGCACGTCGGTCAAGATGTTACTGCCCCTCAGTATCAAAGTTTGGGCACTCAAAAAGTCACCAGTGTAGTGACTCTTTGTGACCAACAGGGGGCCCACAAACCGTGAGTAGTTTGACTGGTAGTAAACGTTGGGTACAGGGCTAAGTAATCTGCATTAAGCTATTTATTGTTATTGTGTCAGGGGTATTATGGTGTACTGTGGTAAATGTAGTGTGCCGTGATAAATGTAGATACGTTAGCAGCTCATTTACCTGTAGCAGTTATTGTTTCAGGGGTATTAGGGTATACTATGGCAAATGTAGTGTATTGTTGTAAATGTATAAACACATGCAGCTAATTTACCTGTAATTTTCTCAGGGATATGATGGAGTATTGTGGTAAATGTGGTGTACTGAGGTAAATGCCACTCTTCTGTACGATTATACACTGATCTGGGAACTGCGTTTATTGGCTTACGTGTGGATTAATTTGTTGCTCAGGAACAAACACACAAATGATACATTTCACATTATAACTAAATAAAAACATGTATAAAGTATGATCTTAACACCAGCCACATGTGTCAAAATCTCACATTAATGGTTATGAGTAGTTCAAGATGCAGTAGGCGTTAACTGTGAAGTCCTTCCGGCACCGTTTTAATGAGATCTATTGGGTTCTGCCAGTGAGCCGTCTCTCCATGACATTGTCCCACGGCTTCTATGATTAGCCATTGTGTCTGGGAACACAAGGTCTCAGTAACATAGACTGGGCCAAGTATGAGAACGGCGCCCATCAGGGGACATTAGTTAAGTGGAGATTAATGGCTGCGCTGGACCCAAAGCCAAGCGCAGATGATCAGCTCCCCAGCTTGCGAGCCGACGGCTGATACGCAGTCCTGCCTTCATGGTTTCCGGGTGCGGGAACCAGACGGGGACACTGCTGTGTGTTTCAACAAAGGAGCCTGTGGACAGGAGCCGTGTAAGAGCAAAGCTCAAATCACCTGCTCGACCCGAGGAGTCGACAGATGTGCTTTGCACCTTGATGACGGCACAGGCTCCAGCTTTGAAATGCTGGGTGGGCCGTAGAGTTATCTAAGGAGACTGGGGGCCAGTAGCAGAGCCAGAAACCATAGCGTGGGAGGACTGGCCGAAAATCAGGTGGGCCAGTCCCATAACAATTCACAGTACCGACTCAACCACAAATATACACACACAAACACACACAGGTTTGTAATTATATCTTTGTGGGGACTCTCCATTCATTTCTATGGGGAAAACTCTAATCCCAACATGACGACCTTAACCCCTACCCAGCCTTAACATTAACCATAGGTAACCAAACAAAATACGAGACTTTGGGCATTTTAATTTTTTAAATTGCATTCACAGATCTTTATAGGGACCTGGAAAATGGTTCCCTCAAAGTCAAAATAACAGGTTTTTATCACATTGTGGGGAACATTTGGTCCCCACAACGTAATATAAACATAATCCACACACACACACACACACACACACAATACTGTCAAAAGTCGTAGGCTGGCAAAGAAAATGATGATTAAATTATCGTCATGTTTGTGTAAAATTAGGATATTATGCCTGTAAAAATGTGTCAGGTCCGGCATTTCAAAACCTCAGCTAAAATCGCCCCTGTATTTGCAGCAACCATGCAAGACACCCACGAATTTTTGACTTGACCACTAGCAGACCTCATATGGCTAATCAATACCTCTCTGACTTTCAAATACTAATTTAGTTAATAAATTAAGCAAGCCAGTGGCGACATTTAACAAATACACGGAACGGCTGAGGTGCCCCTGAGGAGAGGCGTGGAAAATGAGGCGGTGTCCATCTAGACACCCAACTGGACATCAATAACTTCTTGGAGAAAGAAGAAATGCCTGTGAGTTTTTATTGTGTAACTTTTCATTGTCATATGTTCCAGTGTTAAATTGTGTTTTTGTTCTGAGCAAATGTGCACTTACTACCCAGATAAAAAGATTGAAACATTTCCTTAAGACTTTTGCACAGTACTGTATGTATATGTGTGTGTGTGTGTGTGTGTGTATATATATATATATATATATATATATATATATATATATATATAATCAATTTTTAAATGACCTGTGGCATTACTAAGACCAAATGAACAAAGACAAAGAAAAGTCCGTGGCTGAACAGCACATTTCCTCTGATAACTCTAACTACGCACAATCATATGCCTGTTTTATCATACTGTGTCGCCCGACGTGAACGCCGAGTGGGTTCCTACCTGTGCCGTCGTGGTAGCCAGGGACCACAGAGCCAGCCCTGGCTGCAAACATAGAAGATACCTGGAAGGGTGTATAAAGAGGGAGACACTAAACTGAAGTAGCATGCAAGGAAGTCTCCCAAGCCTGGATTCACGTGGGCCCGTAGGATGTGGGGAAAAAAGGCAGGACACGGTAGTGTGGAGGATATAGGGGCGCTGAAGGTGCTTTAGCACCCCTTCTGGTTGTTGGTGGTAATGCAGTACCAGAATACTGCCGGAAACACACAGGGCTGCCAACCATCACGCATCTGACGTGACTCTCACACTTAAAGACTCCCTCATGCAAGATATCTTACAGCAAATTTATATTAATTTATTATATAATTGTAAAATTAGCTACATTCATAAGGTTGCGGGTAGTTTTCAAACCCTAAAGACTAATTACAAGGTAGTAAAACTACATATAAATACGTGTGCATGTGTGTGGAGACTTGTCTCGAATGGAAAATCTCACTACAGCCACCGAAATTGGCAACCATGGAAACAGGTTAATTATCTCGCACTCAGATGCGATTTTATGATAATTTCTCCAAAAAGACTACCAAACCATCACCAAAAAAGTCTTTTGGCGTTCCGAATTTGAGCTCAAAAACCCGCGGAGGTTGCGGTGGTGCACCAGCGGGTCCCTCCATCTGTCAGCGGGGTATGAGGCGTGACAGCTAGGTGCCGTCTGCCCGCCCTCGCTTCTTAATTACAGAGCCGGTGACCGCGGCTCCGGAGTCATTAAACTCACACTTAATTAACACTCACCCTATACCTCATACAGCCTCGTTTAATACCTTATGCATCCATGCAGGCGCAATTAATCTCTGCCTCTTTGAAGAAGCTGCTTGTTAATCGTATTATTATGTTATTAAATTATCTATTGCAATTATTGAGGTCTCAAATGTGATGGTGATGTTTTAAGCTACGAAGCTTCCTGGCGAGTGCGCTCCAGTTCCCGATTTTGTACCTTCACTCAAGTAGGCCTATGGTTCCTCACCACTCCTGATGACCGGCTGGTCACCACTATTCCTTCGTCTTTCATTTGATTCTACAACTTCTTTAGAGTATAACTCAATCCAGCCGAAACCCAATGTAATGCATAAAATCACTACCAGACATTGCATGTATTTGCATTCCTAACCTAAGGTGAATTCAGCAAAAGTGGGGCATTTAAGATTTGCCCTGTGCTACTTAAAAAAAAAAATCAACAACTAATGATAACCAACAGTGCTAAAGTCATGCTACAACAGGGCTTGGTCTTCAACAACTGGTTTCATTTGTGTGGCATGTTAATGATGGCTGTGTTCATAATTTCAAGACTGTGGAGCGAAAATGGACCGACAAACGAAAAAGCTCTTTCGAAAGATAAGACTGCTAGAAACATATAATAGGGTATATTGTTTAAGTTGTTGTATTTTATTAAAAGAGGGCTGGAGATTGTTTTATAAATATAGCACATTTTTGAACAAATACATTAGTTTTTTTGTTTGCTTTTGATTTTAGCGCTGTCCCTCTTTGGCTGAAGGTTCTAGTAAAAGTGGAACAGTACTTTTCAGGTAAATTGGGACACATTTTTACATGTAAATAATGTAGATCGGGGGTCCCCAACTGGTCGATCGCGATCGTCCAGCGCGATATGACAAATACTGTATTTCTTTGGCAGCTAACAGGTCAATGCGATCGCCCGAAAATACGTAGGGAAGCTTCCCCCCCACCGACCAAATGCCGGCAAGATATGCCAAGGAAGATTTCACTGAGATTTAAGGACACTCATGAAATGAAAAATAAAACAATTAGCCTACTTATTTATATAAAAGTAGTAGTCAACGAAATGTTCTAATGAATTTATTTATAGGTTTTTTTTTTGGTCAATAAAATATTGCTTTGTGCAATTAAAGTACATGTTGCCTCTATACAAAACTACTGTCCCGTTTTTGCAGAAGAGCTGTCCCACTTTACCTGAACAAGCTCGATAAGAAATGAGAGGTGCCTCTCTATGTTTTATCCCATTTAACTCTTACATATTACATAGATTGTTTACATTTCCACACTAAACTATTTAAGGAGACAAGCGGTTAATAGAAAAATATATTAGTCTGAGCAAATGGCTTTCGTGAGATTTTTCTAAATCATTTACCAAAAAGTGCACGATTGCATAGTTCACTTTACATGCAGTATTTACAGTTAGATTAGACACGCCGTACTAATTCTTTAGTATTATTTTAAATAGGCTACTTAATTAACAGCTACATAGTCTGATGCATAATTTTTGAGAATCATGTCATTGTGTAAAATTAACGGGTGGCGCAGCTAATGTCTGAGTATATATTCTGCAGAGGTGGAAAGTTCAGGTCCATAAAGTACAAATCCAGACCAAGGTTTTATTTCACTCAACCAGTTTAGCATAAAGAGTTATAGTTACGGAGTACTCAACTGGTTGGTTGAAACAAAATCTTGGTCTGTATTTGTACTTACTGGGCCTGAACTTTCCACCTCTGATTTCATGATACTGGTTAATTATATCTCATGGATATGTAAACTTCGGGACCGCAAAAACCAACTTCAATGGGCAGAACCGAGCCCTGGACGAACGTTTCTTCTCAGTACACGGGAAAAGAAAAACACCCACACTGCATTTTAGGGAAGCAGACAGGAACACGAGTGACACATTCTTTAAAATAGCACCTCTTTGTCACGAAATGTGAGTGCAGCATTCAGACCAGCTAAAACGGGAAGGATCGAGAATGAGACACGACTGGAAGAAAATAGACAAGTCATTATTATTTATTAAAACTATACATCCACTCCGACACCGATAATGAAAGGTCGTTATTTCACAGCTTAAGGACAACAAGCAGCCTGATACCACAACATGCACAGGAAATCGGGAAAGGACAGAATTAAGGCGGCGGGGCGCCTCCGCGCTCAGGTCACACAGAACGCGCACACGGATCCGCAAACGCGCAACTTTACGCGGACACCGGGAAATCAGAAGCTGGCACATTCGGATAGCATAACTATACGTGTTTCATGTTTACAGAAACTGATTATTTGTTCATTTTAGCCATAAACTGTGCGATGGAACACCAAAGCGGCCATGCAAACATTTCATTTTATAGTTTTCTGCTCCATACACCTATCGGTATGCGTGTTCGTCCTATAAAGTGCGTCGCCATATATTTGTGCCAAATTATTCCGTTTGCGCGTTGTCCTCGTAAATAAAGCTTAACGTTCTGTCATGTTCGGTTTTCTTTCCTCTTCGAACGCATCCAAATGGATGTTTTTAAAATACATGTCATAGCCGCAGCCAGGCTGTTCTGCGTGGCACATAATGCATTTTTTAAAATTAGAAAGCACATCCACCGGAAAGCTTCTGTCTTTCCATCAGCCGACCTACCTCCTGAGGAGGGAAGGTGACACAAACTACCGCGTTACCGAGAAGTGAGGGGAACGTTAAACTGGCATAAGGCGTCAAAAGCGAATGTTGTCGTTTCTCTGTGAAGGACCCTCAGCCACTGGGCATTTCACAGATGCAGGAACTGGTGAGGCCGTACCAGCAGCAGAAGATCTCCTTGAAGGTCTTCCTCATCTCTTGGCTGCGGAAGGCGTAGATGATGGGGTCGATGACGGAGTTGCACATGATGAGGATGAGGTACATGTTGAAGTGCGACATGAAACAGACGCAGTAGGGGTTCCGTGGGCAGGAGATCATCAGGATGAGGTGAAGGAAGAAGGGGGCCCAGCACACCACGAAGACGCCCAGCAGGATGGTGAGAGTGATGGCGCCCTTCATGTTGGCCGCCTGCCACACGGGGGCGCTGCCCGGCAAGGCGGCGATGCGCTTCATGTGCAGGCGCGCCAACAGGAACATGTGCACGTAGAGCGACGCCATGAGGGCTAGCATGGCAAAGAACATGGTGATGAGGAGGATGAGCACGGTGGTGCTCTCCGAGTAGACGATGAAGAGCACGCCTGACACCGTACAGCACGTCCAGATGCAGGTGATGATGGCCGCCGTCCTCCGCACTGTCACGATGTTGTGGTAGCGCAGCGCGTAGAAGATGGTGACGTATCGGTCCACGGCGATGGCCAGCAGGCTGCAGATGGAAGCCAGCAGCGAGCTGCAGATCATGGAGTCGAATACGTTGTCGATGCTCTTGATGAGGCTGACGCGGATGTTCAGCTCGTCGTTGGTGATCAGCGCTATGACGATGGTCTCCGTGGCATTGGAGACGCTGACCAGCATGTCCGCCACGGCCAGGCTGCAGATGAACAGGTACATGGGCGAGTGCAGGTTCTTGTTTTTCACGATGGCGGTGACCACCAAGATGTTCTCCAGCAGGCTTATGATGCCCAGGGTCAAGAAGACCTCTGTGGAGATCAGGAGCTGCTCATAGCAGCCGGAGGATGAGGAGCTCTTTCCTCCGGTGGATTCATTGCTGGAGGTACCCAAACTCAGGTTCCTGGGATGGATTAGCCCATGATGAGAGACATTCATCTTCCAGATCAGGGCTGAGCTTTTTTGCCACGATCTTCTTCTTAATATTCAGTCCAGGAGACTCCTCTACCAGGGCTTCTCTTCTCCACGTTGGACCAGAAGGTGCCTGGGCATAGTGCAGCTGAACACAGGCTGCTGGTCCACCTGCCCTACCCCCTAGGGATGCTTCCTACCTGCTCCCCTGACCCCCCCCCCTACACACCCCCTGCTGAGCTCCCCACCAATCCACAAGCAGCCCTGGGCCACCTCCTTGTGAATGCTCATCCCCCCAGCTGGGGAAACAGGGGGAGAGAGAGAGGAAGTGAAAGTGAAGAGAGAGAGAGAGAGAGAGAGAGAGAGAAGCTGGATGAGTCACGGAGCAGAGAGGACCGTCATTCGGAGATGAGGGAAGCGGCGAGCGTATCACACCTCAGTAGACGAGCTCAGCCGGCCTTGGGCTTTATGAGATGTGCTTCGTCACTCTCGCATCTGGCTCCTCCCACTGCTCTCCCCGCAGCCAATCAGGACAGGCAGGGGGTGGTAGGCTTTGTGTACACGTGTGTCTTGGGGTCTGACAGCCGAGCTGGATCTAGTTGATTAACTAAGGAGGACTAAAGAACTAATTCTTTAAAGTTTCTTTGCTTGCTTCTTGTTTTGAGTATTTTCAAGATGCATTAACAGTTCCTAAGGCAAAAAGAAGGAGAAAAATAATAATACACTTCCTTGGAGTGGGAGAAAATTAAAACAGTTAAAGAGTCACATTTTAATGATTGCATGGGATCCCAGGGACGGTTTTCATGTGACTGAAACTGAAATCCCTTGTTCAGAATCACCCAGTTGGACAGACGCTCTGTTGCTTGGTGGGTGTCTGCTGTATAAACTACTTCTGTGCAGCCTGAGGTACGAGATGGAGATCTCAGCTGGACATTACAGCCATTCCAGGTTTGTCTGTAACCTGTCTGTAACCTCTAAACCAGGGCTCTTTAAATCTGGCCCTAGATTCCAAATCCAGTGCGTGTTTTCAGCTCTCCCAGGTAGTTAGTTTAAAGAATAACTGATTCTGATTGGCTGGAGGCTTCACATTTGGCTCATAGGTAAAGGAAGGCTGGAAGAACTCGGACCTTGAGGACCGTGATTTGAACAGCTACGCTCTAAACGTACGGCTGGTAGGACCTATTGGACAGGAGGAGGCGGAAATGATGGCATTCCTAGAGCACGTCTGAAAAATCACCTCAGTAATAACAGAAACCAAACTTGTGAATTTTAGAGCCCAGATCCCATCCCTAGGGACTATTCCTGGGACACACTTCAAGATCTGCCCCCCCAGCCCCATAAACTGGGGCAGGTTTGTTATTTCTGCCCCCCATATTTCAAAAACTAAATAGCTAGCGAATAGAGCTGTATCTAGCTAACTGGTTAGCAGAACATGTCGCTTCAGCATCTCCTATATTAGCAATGTGTTTATTTAATATTTAGTGTGGTTACAGTTTTTCGCCAGCAGAGGGCTCCCAAACCTCAGGGCCCCTATGCAAATGCGTGGTTTGAGGGGTGGTACACCGCCAGTGCCCGTAAGGGATAAGCAACACTTTCCCACTCTTGCAGAAATAAATGCATCGATTTCCATGCAGTCAAACCATTTAAATGAATCATTTAATATTTCGTTTTTCTATAAGGCACAAAACAGTGCAGAAACTACTGAATTAGAAACAACTTGGGGAAACAAACTGAATTCTACCATTTTTTTAAACAGTTTCCAATATCTTATGTGATACTTTAGATTACACTAGTATAATATACTGAAAATAAGAAGCTGATTGTAATTTCATGGGTGATTAAGTACAAACCATGACTGAAAATGCTTCTCTGCACTATCTGATTATAGCTGTGCAACTTGAACAAAATAAACGAGCACTTATATAATGAATTTCAATGTAAATATGTGACCAGCGATCTGCACATCACTCGCAGTCAGCTGGGAATTAATTTAGATTAAGCTCAACTAGCCTTGTGCAGTGACCTGCCTGAATCTCTCGGTGGCACTTTAAATTACATCCGATTGGACGCCTCGAATAAACTGCTGGAAATGCGTCACTGGTCAAGTGTTGCCATGGTTACCTTGGGAAGCCCAGCCCAGTTCGATGGTCAGCCTCCCTGCTGAGTTTGGGGCTGAACCTTATCTCAGTGCTGGGGGGGAGGGGGCATTGGAGCCCCCCGCAAGGATCCAGTGAGATGATCACAGCAGAGGCATCTCCGACAAGCAGGGCAGCTGAGTACAGACCTGTGTGCTTCTCCGCAGATCATTAGTAGGAAAAAGCAAACCTAATTTCGAAGGATCAAGATCTCAACTTGCGGGGACTCTCAAAACATAGATTAACTTTTTCAATATGCCTTCTAAATCTTGCCCGTTATTTTATATATACTGCAGTACGGGGCAGGCAGGTTCACTGCAGTGGGAGACCAGGGTTCAAGTGCTTTCATGCACCCCCCCAAAAACAAAAATTGCTAAGCTTTTAAAGATCCCACACCGACAATTATAAACTGTTGGTATATACGGCCAGAGTGAATTTGGTCGGAGGTATCAGTGATTCCTACAGGCATTAAGTGACTCAAATAATGGCCAACATGTCCGTCACAGTCAGGCATGATAAGGGCTGTAGATTGGGGGCTGGATGCCTGATGAGTGCTTCATTTATCAGCCCCACCCTCGCTAAATGTCCTCTGGAAGCGCTCAGGATCCCTTTTCCCGCCATATATAAATCCGATTTTTTGACCCAAGGTTCGAGCACTCGTTGGTGTGCCGAACGCCCCTTCGGCGAGACGAATCTCTGAAGAATGTATCTGACTTTTTAACAAGCACAGAACACTGCCTCGGCCGTAACACATCTCACCCCAAGCAGCTGTGTGGGAGAACGGGAGCTGTGATTCTCATTATTATTTTCTCCCAAACATCAGGGAGAGACGGAGCAGAAGAGCGACTCAGGAGGAGCTCTGGGCCTCAGGTTCTCAGCTGGAGAAAGGATGGGGTCACAGCATCGACCACCACCCAGATCAACAGCGCTAATGTCGTTTTACATTTAAGAGAGGTGGAAAATTCAGCTCCATAAAGGTTTTGTTTCAACCAACCAGTTGAGTATAAAGAGTCACAGTCACAGAGTACTCAACTGGTTGGTTGAAACAAAACCTTGGTCTGGATTTGTACTTTCTGAACCTGAACTTTCCACCTCTGTATTATGAATATTTAGCAGACACTTTTGTCTGAAGACATGTACAATTGAGGCAGCTTTCAAGGAGTCAACTTGGCATAAGTGCAGCTTGGCTGAGCTTCCAGTGAATGTCCAGGTACGAGTGTAAGCAGGATCATAGCAGGAACTACACAACAACTTCTAACCAGAGGAGAACCTAATAAGACAGCTGTTCAAATCTGCAGAAAGTGCCACATTAAGATCATTCGGGGAACATGGTGAGGTTCCAGGCTAGAAGAGGTGTTCCTGGAACATATGGGTCTTGAGACGTGTCTTGAAGGTGGAGAGGGAGTCTGATGACTGGACGAGGTTCAGGCGCTTATTCGGGGAACCACGCAAGAGAGCCGTTTTCTCCGTTAACTCTGCCTCATCCTTTTCTTTTAGTTCCCAGGAACTGAAACTGAGCCACTGTAAATGTTCACCCGTCACTTTATAGGAGAGCAGCCAACTGTAAGTGGAAGCAAAATTAAACAAATTAAATGAACAGGGAATGTGAAAGCAGTGCTGCCTTTAATGCCCTGTTTTGCATTGAAGAGTAATATATCTTTTTTTAAGGGCTGTTTCTGCATTCAGATGCTGCCTCGAGGGATCAGTACAGCATTGGAAACACACACACACACACACACACAGTCACAGAACAGACACACAGACCAGTACTCATATCTTTGTGGGGACTCTCCATTCATTTCTATGGACATGACCCTAATCCCAACATGGCGACCCTAACCCTAACCTTAACCATAAGTATCCACACAAAAACAACTGTTTCCACTTGTGGGGACTGGAAAAATGGTCCCTACAACATCAAAATAACAGATTTTAATCACATAGTGTGGACATTTGTATATACACTCACCTAAAGGATTATTAGGAACACCATAATAATAAGGTCTTTGACCCCCTTTCGCCTTCAGAACTGCCTTAA